TGACATAGATTGCAGTAAAAAAAAACAGCACAAACTAATTCAACAAATCAGTCAAGACAAACTTTCTTTTTTAGTTTGTTTGCCTGTCATCGTAAGGCTAAACAAAGAACGCACTATCTACTGCAAGTAGAAAATGTTGGCAAGAGTCTCAAAACGAAAACGGGTAAAAATAAGCTCGAACTAAAGGAGGTCCTAGACGAGAAAAGTTTACGGATAAAATGTAGGTCATATTTTTAACTTTGTGAAAATATAGGTTATAGTTTTTAAGATCTAATTTAGGGTAATTATGCAGTATAGGTGTTTTTCGTATTTTTTAGTGATTTCTCAAAAATTCTTTTTTTATACGTGATTCTAGAGACCAAATACAACACAAATCCGTGTGCGCACGTTGAATTTTGATGATAAGACAAGTTGAGCCAAACACCTCTTCATATCGAGCGTTGGGCGGGTTGGTTAGCGTGGTTATTTGGAGGGTGTTAATTCATTGGTTAGTCATAGGTAAATTAATCATATTGTTACCTTTTTCGTCGGTTCCGTGTGGATAGAAAGTCACAATTTATTTAAACACTATTTATTTAACACTAATTAACAAAAACAATAACGATAAAAGACTTATAGAACTATTTACAAACGATTTATAACTAAGCATTTATTTTGAACTTTAGCGCGTCAACTGTACTGTTTATTTATAACTGCCCCCTGTAGGCCACAGCCGCCGGCTTTTATACCGACAGGTAAAGAACTCTAGAATAGTCCATAGATCGTTAGGTGCGTAGGGAAGGTTTTGGAATGTTCTCGTATGTACTAGTCCATTCCAGTGGGACTCGATTCTTCTCGAACGAATGAATCATTACGGTGTCTATTCTTTAATGCGATGTTAAGGTCATCTGAGGGCGGGACATATAGTTAGGTTAGGTCGAGTCCACACGGGTCCGCAACAATATAATTACCAATATGCCAGAGAAAGGAGAAAGAGAGGAGAAAAAAAATTCTCCAAGAGGAGAAAAACAAATGTCAACGTGCGCCCACGGATTTGTATTGTATTTGGTCTCTAGAATCACGTAAAAAAAGAATTTTTGAGAAATCTCTAAAAATATCCAAAATATGTATGAAGCCTCCCCAGACACAAAATCAGAAAAATGTATCTGCGGAAATGCATAATTCTCTTTTTTCCGACTTTAGAATAACTGATCAGTTACATAAAAACGTGTTCCTGCTTTACATTCTAAACACTTTTATTGTGTAGGTATGAACTTAACCTAGTAGATACTGTATTTTAGACATCAATACCTTACCGAGAAAAATACGAAAATAAACATAAATGAACCAACAAACCGAACCAAAGCAATCAAAATACGCTGTAAGCTGTAAGCTAAAATGCGTCTTTTTACGAATTCCAATTGGCGAGTACTTTTCAAATCTTGCTATATTTTACAATTTTTTATCACTAAAGGCTTCCAAATACTAAATAAACAAATAATTCTTACATAACTGATTTCAAGTAAACGAAACTTGAGCCAAATAAGCAAATTGACAGTGACTTCCGGTTGAACCAGAATATTTTAAATACAGTATTGAGGTGAATCGCCTATTTAAAAATAGACATATTTCTTTAAATTCAAAACATTTAGTTTAAGACACTCTGTATACATAAATAAAATTATTGATTTTGAAAAGATATTATTCACAAACTAGGGAGAGGGAAATCAGGCGACGACCAGAGATAATAGTTGTTAAATAATAGCTTTTAGACTAGCATTCGAGACGCATTGATGTTATTTTGGTTCGTTTTTGTGACAAAGAATGTTATTAAAGGTAAAGTAAATCTTTTCTCATTATTTAACTACTGTTAACTAGAGCATATATGTATTTCATTTTCCTGTTGTAATATTCTGTATTAAAGTTTTTCCTTATTTATTTCATCTGAGAATATATAAATATATCTAACATGTGTATGCATTTAATGGAATCTATTTAAGCTGTAAATAATTTCAATTTAAAAGTAATCTAAATAAATCGTTTACTGTTCCTTCGTGCCCATATTTGTGATTTAGTGTGAGAATAAGGCCCTCGTTGAATGTACTAACAATTTTCGACCGTGCATGGTAGAATATCTTAGCTCGGAAAAGGGGAAACAAAAACAATAATAGGATAATTTATAGAACAATTTATAAAGATTCTAATATACAGGGTGGCGCACCCCATTTACCTCGGTTGATTATACGAAAACGGAAAGATGTAGAAACAAAATTTTTTGTGGGTGTATGTAGAGAGGCAATGTGCATAATTTAAAATTATTTCCAAATGTACAGGGTGGGTCAAATTCGACGCTTTTAAATGGAAACACCCTTTTCTATAGGAGATAGACGAAAACTAATATCGATGTCTGGAGCTCAATTTTCATCAAAAACATGATGGTGAAAACCGCACATTATATATCTGTTACCGTTTCGGAGTTACGGGGTGATTTTCAAAAATGTGCATTTTTAACAAATCGCTGTTAACTTTTTTGCTATGGAAAATTTTGTATTTCTATGAAAACATTTTCAAAGCACCTTTTTACGTAGAATTTAATGGTTTAAGTATAATTTTTTTAAAATTAATAATTTAAGAGTTATAACAGAAAAATTGATTTTTTATTTGGGGCACTCTCTATATTTTTAATTGACTGAAAAGAATTTAAAATTACCTTTCCAAAAATATAGCACACTTGATATTTTGTTATAATCCCCTTCGAAATACAGAATTTTTAAAAGTTCGCCACTTTTAACTAGTAGGCTTAGATAGACCCCTTATTGATGATATGCCCTTAATGGAACTCGAAAACATACTTTTCCAGCAAGACGACGCACCGCCTCAGAACGCTGAAGTTATCAGCAAATTTTTGCAGCCAATTTCAAGAATAATTGAATAGCTAACCAAGATCCCAGCCGTTGGCCGTCGAGGCCGCCTGACTTAGTGCCCATGCATCTAATCCTATGGATATATTTGCGGAAGAATAAAGGTTCTTTATTCTTCCGTATAATCTAGACAAGAATTAGAAATACTTAGCAGTTATGAGAGGTATCTTTCATCCCCACTGAGTTAATGAATTCCGCGAGAAATGTTCAAAAACGGCCCCGTCTGTCAATAACAGAAGACGGTCGATATTATGTCGAACACCTGTAGCAAAATGTCATGTCTGTTTGCTATTTATTTTTATTGTTATTAGATATAGTTTAAATGTATTGATGTTGGTTAAATATATTTTAAATAGTTATAAAATTCTGCATCTCTCATAGCAAATATTATTTTTGTTTTAATTGATACTCACAGCTAGATTTTTTTGCATTACAGCCGGTGCCGTTCAAAGCCTACTCATTTAAAGCGGGCGAATTTTTATATACCTTATATCTCGAAGAGGAATCGAGTAAAATATCAAGTGTGTTATATTTTTGGAAAGGTAATTTTAAATTCTTTGCAATAAATTAAAAATATACAGGGTGTCCCATATAAAAAATCAAATTTTCTGTTGATAATTCTTAAATTATTAATTTTAAAAAAATTATACTTAAACCAACCATTAAATTCTACGTAAAAAGGTGTTTTGGAAATGTTTTCATAAAAATACAAAATTTTCCATAGCAAAAAGTTACAGCGATTTGTTAAAAGTGCATATGAAAAAAACACCCCGTAACTAACACACAGTAACAGATATCGATATGCGGTTTTCACCATCATGTTTTTGACAAAAATTGAGCTCCAGACACCGATATTAGTTCGTTAGTCGTCTCACTATAGAAAAGGGTGCATCTCCTATAGAAAAGGGTGTTTCCATTTAAAAGCGTCGAATTTAACCCACCCTGTACAGGGTGTGTCAGAACTAAGATCCATACCAAAGTTATATTTTTTCTTATGGGACACACGGAATTTTATTTCACTTTTGATTTCTTAGTCCCAAAAAATATTACTTATTATTAGGGTTAAATATTATGTTTAAAATCTTTGGTTTTTGAGATATTTAAAGATATTTAAATTTGCATGCTACATTAGAATAGATTATTAACACCCTGTACATTACTTTTCAGAATTAATTCTTGTGCTGAGTTTAAAGATAAAGAAATAAACTTTACTGAAAAATGGTATTGCTTCCTTAAATTTATACAGGGGTATCAAAAATTGCTGATCTATTTTAAGGATATATTTTACATAAAAACTTCGTTATTTCAAATGCAACACCCTGTATTTTTTTAAATAAACCAAATCAGATTCAAATGCTCTTTTAAACTATATTAGGGTTTCCTATACCTATCTAGCTCAGATTTTGAATAAAAAGCGATTTTTAAATAAAATTGCAATCAAGATGGCTGGTGTCGCCATGGCAATTTTCTAGTGACAGTTAGTAACTATTTTCAAAGTCGACATTAGTTTATGGACATTATTATTTATAATTTATAACAGTTTGGTTGAACTTGCCGTTATTATCTCTTTTATAGAAAATCCATATATCGACAAGTCATCAAAAATATTTAACACAACGTAGGTTCCTTTACTTCATTTAAATTGTTTGTTATACAGTTGGCCAAAATATTACCTCGTACCTAGTTGTTACACTACAGTACCTACTATATTTTTTGATTTTTGAATTCTACAGTATGTCCCCGGATATTGTCTTTAGAAGAGGAAAAACTTTTCAAAAATGACTTAAAAAATTAATTTCATTTTTTAAGTCATTTTTAAAAAAGTTTAAAAAAATACTAAAAATTATCAACATTTCTAAAACTCATGCATAAAAAAAATACCAAAAACACATGCAATGTCGTAAATAAATACCAGCAATATTCTATCTATGCTACTTCTTTCGACATGGTTCATAATAATTCTTACTACTAAATACCGCTAATATAAGTTTTGTTTTTTTAAGAAAAAGCACGAAAAAAATTAAATCACTCTATCTCTGTTGGACTAAAAAGGCATGCTAGGAAACCTCAAAAACCAAGCAAAATGATTTATTTACACACCTATATCGTTTTCGTCCATGTTTATAGAAAATGTGTCGCAAGTCTAGCGGAATGATGGTGATTGATGATGATGCTCTTTCTTTCGCATTTACCACACCGGGTCCTTGTGACAGAGAATATAATAAATAAGGTGAAAAATAACTAGGAGGTAAAAATATAGAGATGCTCTCATATTATATACCAATTTGTATAATAGTGTAATGGCTGAGATCATGCTACGATCTTGAGCCTAAAACAGCGTACACACTATGCGAGAAACAATTCGAAACATGTCAAGGTCGCATTTCGTCGCCCAACTTTGGACGCATTTCGATTTATTTCCAGTTGTCTTAACCCACTTCGGCTTGCCTCGACCTACTTTCGATTCTTAAAAGCGCCTGAAAACTACCCGTGAGGAGGGCGAGGGGGGATTTTTTTTGGCGTTTTTTGTTGCCTCGTTCAATTTTGTTTTGTTTTGAGCTATTTCCAAAACGTGGCGGTATCTGTACCGGAGGCAAAGGATTTTTTTTTCATAAATCTCAGTGAAATAAGTAAACCTAGACGTTTCTAAAATAGCTGTTACGATGATATTTCGTTAATTAAATTTCGTTTTATGTTATATTGATATATATTAAAATGGTCCACGATGAAATCTGTAAACGATACTATAAATCCATTCTACTAGTATTTATTATGCAGGGATTTAGACAATTAAAAGTAAAAAAAATAAAACCAAATTAGTAACCTAAACTTTGCTACAGACTCCAGTATAAATGTTACTTCACTATAACCAGAAATAATAAATAATTAGACGATTTTTTAAATAATTTTGTGTATATTTTGTTCATGAGGTGTAATACCGTGGATTATAAGCCGATAAATGGTAGACTGTTAGTTAGTCACTGTTTTATATTTTTTTTTACTATATTGTAATATACGTTTCTAAAATAGCTGTTATATTAGACAATGATTAAAACTAAATATTCTTGTGTAACCTTCGAGGAATAGCCAATTTAATTAACCATCGGTAACTGTTTTTATATCAGTTTTCCCATGTTCCCACGTTTCCTGAAATTGATCGAGACGCGCCGTGATTGGTTACTAAACTGAGTCTTTCAAACTCACTGCTATTGTCCATTGTCCAAGGAATGCTAGCATTCACTAGTAAAAAAATAGATGTTGAACTTTTACTGGCGTAGTCTTAGCAAATAATGAATGTGAGCTTTTACTAGTAATTGTTAAAAATCACTGATTTCCAACTTTTACTGTAACATATATGTAATTGGTAAATAATCTTGACGTCTAGTGATTGACCATGCCAAAATTATAGTACTTAACGAAAAAAAAACTGAAATTATGAAATATTATATCGTTCTGGGTGGCAGAAAAAAAACAACTCATCATTACCGATCGTTTTAAAGTAGTACTACTTCACTCAGTTTCGAGAGATCGATTAAAAAGATAAAGACAACTTAAACATGCGTATCAAAATACATTTCATTTGGTAATGACTACAAAGTTGACTTTAAAATAATCGTATTGTATTGATTTTAAAACAAGCTAATATAAATATAGAAAAGTAAATAATAAAAAATAAAATAATATTCTTCATATTTTAGTGGTAAAGTTCTGTATGATGATGATCAAAACTTATTATATTATAATATTGTAAGAAATGGAATATTATAATTTTGTCGTTGCATCTCTATATATTTACTTCCGAGGATATTGGGAATAAATGGTCACAAATTTATAGAAATGATACTTTCTATTTTTGGAGCTGGGCCTTATTTTCATATTTTCGTAACTCTGAAATATTTTGTTGATCTACTGCTTTTAAAATATTCCACAAGATCTGGATTTCTTTGGAGAGATTTTGAAATGTACAGGGTGTTTCAGAACTAAGATCCATACCAAAGTTATATTTTTTCTTATGGAACACCCGGTATTTTATTTCATTTTTGGATTCTTGAGACAAAAAAAGGTATTTATAATAAGGGTTAAATATGTTTAAAATCTTTGGTTTTTGAGATATTTAAAGATATTTCAAAATACATGCTACAATAGAACATTAACACCCTGTACATTGCTTTTCAGAATTAATTCTTGTGCCTGACACTTAAGCCAGAGAAATAAACTTTACTGAAAAATTTGATTACTTTGTTTAATGTATACAGGGGTATCAAAAATTGCTGGTCTATTTTAAATATTTATTTTACATAAAAACTTCGTTATTTCAAATACAACACCCTGTATTTTTTTAAACAAATCGAAGCAGATTCAAATGCTCTTTCAAACTATATTAGGGTTTCCTATACCTATCTAGCTCAGATTTTGAATAAAGAGCCATTTTTCAATAAAATGGCAACCAAGATCTGTACATCTTTCCGTTTTCGTGTAATGAACCGAGGCGAATGAGGTGCGCCACCCTGTATAAGAAATCCGGCCATAACAAAAACAAGTTGAAAAAAAGTAAAACAATTATAAAATTGCCCATTATCAGCGCAAACAAGGTCAAATTGCGACAAGCAATTTCAAATATTACCCGTAAAATTAAACGATGTTAACAATGGCATTTTAATTCATTTTTCAGTTTGAACTTTGGCTGAGTTAATAGAAAGTTACTTCCTTCTCAAGCATTAACTTCTTTAATGGATTCCGCCGTTTAATTATTAATTAAATATCTGAAACGGATAGCTAGACGATTTTAAGATACTGTTAACCAGAAAGTGCCAAACGAAGATGGAACAGTATGATAAAACCATATAAAGGTAAATTCTTCTTTTTAAATTTATAAAAATATGTGGAATCTGTTACTACTAGTTCCAAATGTATTTTATTGTATATCCGATAATAATAAAACTTTTTTTATGATAACGTAGGCTAAGCCTGCGCGCTGACATGCATTTTTTAGTCCGCCGACTGTGTAGTTGCAAAAGTGAAAACAATACATTCATGGAGCCGATCGGACGACATTTTGATTGCATTTGAGCGCGGCTCCATAAAAACACATTGGTGACAAATCTGCAAGTAAATAATCGGCCGACTAAAAATTGTCTGTCAGCGCATAGTTGTGATTATGATGCTGTTTTCTATCTTATTTTCAAAAATTTTAACGTTTGTGTTTTTGTTAGGCCTAAAGTACGATTTAAAAAAGAAAAATATTTACTTATTGTCTTATATTTTTGCTGTTCTAGACGCAAGTAGATACATTTTATTGTACAAAACATAAATATTACTGAAGCCCAGCTCCACACAGAGCGCTTATCAACTTATCACTCAATAATTATCGATACGTTTCGTTATCTCGCACTACGTAGTATGTACCTACATCACCACTAGACCCGTTTATGTTGTTAAAGGCGAATTTCCACCAAACGGACAAAACCGCAACAAAACAGAGAATCTGTCAGGAGCGACTGGAGTTACCAACGTGAGGAACATTGGGTAACTATCAACTTAACTTTCTTCTTCTTTTTGTTTCTTTCTTTAAAGTTTTATTTCCATTAAATTACTAAAAATACTATTTATTAATTTATTTAAAGATTTTCTATGTATCTCTGGTAAAGATCAATTGAAAAAGAGTAGCAAGAACAGCGAGGGTATCGCTAGATTTACAAAAGAGTATTGCAACAAGACCATGACAGACTCGATCTTGCAAGACCAAATCTACTTATTAACCATAACTAACACAGGCCATGACAAAGGGAGTTTTGGTCGAAGTCTTGGTCTTGCATTATTTGCTCATCACTAATTTTAAGTTTTGAAGTATATTAATGACTCGATATGTCTTAATAAAATTAGTATCTACGTTTTTCAGTCCATTTTACACATTCCGACCGCAGCACTCGATACGGCAGAAAATAGAAATTATCAGTATGTACTTCACTCAATCCCGTTACTGTTTATGTCGATGGTATTGAAATAATATTAAAATCGACTTTGTCGTAATATTTACGTATTTGATTTTTTACTAGTGCAGTTATTGAAACTATAAAACACTCAGTACAAAGTTTGTGTGATGTAACGCTTTTTTTTCGGGTACTAAAAATTAAGTGAAAAAGAACCCGAACTAAGCGTCGTGTTGTGTTTGTAACAATTTCAAATGTTAATAAAATGGCCGAAAAAATGTTAAGGCGTAATTAGGGCGTTGTTGGGTGCAATAACATTCAATAACTCAACTTTAGTCAACTTCCCCGGATCTTCAACTCTCCCGAAGCAACATTTTATAGCTTCATAGTTTCGCACACCGATTTGATCAAAAGCAAAAATGGATTCAAGCATTTCGACGAAATAAGTGAGTAAACAAAGTGCTCATTACATACTGAAAAAATTAAATAAGCATATAGGTACTATGAGAGGATAAAATATAATTTGCAATATTAATGGTATATATTTTTTAATCAACTAGTGATTAAATGTTGTATGAACATCTTCTTAAATTAAAGCAAAACCGTTGCGCAAAACTTTACTATGCTCGCTATCGTAATAATTAAGCTCATCCAAAGAGTTTTTTTAGCTGCAATAATAAATTATAATAATTATTAAGTAAAAATATTTACTTTTTTATTTTATGACACGTTGGTGGCATCTCTACTATCTCTAGTAGCAAATACAGGAAATATTTTCGAAACAAAAGACGCGGTTTCGGTACGTTTGGTGGAATTCGAGTTTATTTTCAAAACTTCAAACACGTTTTTGTTTTTGTCAAAAATACTAGAGTTTTATTTGAGTCCGTTCGGTGGAAATCCGCCTTAACGTAACGCGAATCATCCTCTCCAGCTCACCTTACTTAGCGGCATGCTAAAATCCAATCAAGGCGCGCGCTAAAAACTTTTCAAGGTCGTACAAATACACTTCCAGCACCGACTTTCCTCGTTAACGGTCACTTAACAACAACAAAACAACAAACAACACAATAAATGTACGCTAATCAAAACAACAACGCGCGAATTTTTATTCTTCGGACACTTTTCCGTGCTTTACTTACTTACGCGTGCTAAACAGTATGCAGGAACGTTTAAATTTAGTCCCGTTGGCGCGCACACTTGATCCGTGTTCTCGGCGAAATAAAAGAAAAACGAACGGCAGCAGGAACGGAGAACGACGTTGTTATTTTTAGGACGCTGCTGGTCCGATTCCTAGAAGCGACTCGGGCTTAGGTTATTTCGAGGTTGCGAACGAGATGTGACAACGTTGCGTGTGGCGCGGGTTGCCGTTGCGGGCGTGATAGGCGCTCCTGCGAGTGGTTTGCGACTGCTGTTATTCGGTTTTCGGTTCCTGCTAGCCGGCGGGAAATGTGTAATGACGGATTTGGTGGGGACTGGACTAACGTTGATGACGCTCTTATCTAGATGGCGCACGTGCAGAGCGGTTGGTCAGGTGGAGATTTATTTTTCGTGCTGAGATGTTGTGTGTCCGTTTTTTCCGGTTGGAAAAAAATCCCATGAATTTTGCATATTGAACTAAAAGATTTAGCTCGGGGATTTGGTCTACGGATAAAAACTTTGTGTTTGTCTGGCGAAGCAACCCTGTCACAGATCAAATCCGTGGACTTAATCTGTCAGATTAGATTGGTCTGTCTGATTTGAATACATAGACTGGCATACATCTGCATCAAAGAAGCAATGAGAACATGACTAACAGAAGCAGTGGAGGTCATTCTAGACTTAACACCACTGCACATTTCGTCGGTAGATATGCCATTGCGACAAGGATTAAAATGATAATTGACGTAAACAGTACTGTGAGAATTGTCAGCTCAGGAGCTTGGAACACCTTTAAAAGAAAAATACCACTTCTCCAACTCACAGTAGATAACATACCAAGAATGTATAATTTTGAGAAACACTTCACTCTAGTATTGAGCAATAAAAATGATTGGAAGAGAGAAATGTTTGCTCTGCAGGTAAAAGATCATACCATAACGTGGTATACTGTTGCTTCCAAAACCAAAGCTGGGACAGAGATCTAACTAAGGGGTATTTGGGCCGAATACTAAATACTTCGAGTTAATGGTCACCTACCCCAGCATCCTTCAGGCATAAATCGAAAGATGCATTCAACTTATCTTAGGAAATATCGGAAACAAGAAATAACCATCTTATCCAATATTCAAGCAACATTAACAGCCATCAACTCAGTTACCATCAATTCGAAATTGGCCAAAGAATGTCTAGAAAAGCTGAACAAATTAGGCCAAGAAAATAAAGACCTGCTACTCTCGGTGCCAGCCCATGAAGGGATAGAAGGTAATAAAATAGCAAACGATATAGTTAGAAAAGGAGCGAACACTCCACTAACTGAACCAGAACTGTTCTGCTTCCCAAGTGGAAACTAACTTAAAACAGAACTCAAGAACCTGGATCCGTAACCTGGAATGGGAATCATTCAATGGTCCAAGACACTCAAAGAAATTTCTCAGGACTTCTCACGACCGAGAAAACCCAAAGATTTTCTTTGATTTAAGTAAAAACAGTCTTCGGATTGTCACAGGACACCGGAGTTTTTAACAGGACACTGACTCCTAATAAACACCTCAGTAGAATGAAGCTAAGAAACAAGGGCGAATGCAGATTCTGTAGAGAAAATGGGAAAACACCAGAACGCCTCATTACTGAGTGCGCTGAGACGACTATTTCGTGCTATAAACTTTGGTACGACTGATATCGGAGATGGAGATAATATACAAAAATAGATAAATATACAAAAATAGATAAAAATATATTCAAAATATACAGATAGCAACTAAAACTGTAATTGTAAAAGGAACAACAGATAAGACACAAGAAACTAAGACAAAGTCGACATACTGTGTTCGAACGCATTGAAATGATAATTAAAAATCGATGACACTTCCCAAATAATCTTACATATAAAATGAAAGCGATCTACATTTCCAAGCCATCTTTGGCGCAGTTTTTTTTTTCTATCGGTATCTGGTATTTACAAGTGAAGACAGCTGGACAGGTTGTACGCTCGCGGAAGGTTCTTCTCGCAACGCCTATCAAACTGGGAATCCACTCGGAATTTCTGTCGCCCCTGCCTCCACTATCGCTCATTTCATCGATCGAAATCTAACAGTCATGGCATACGAGGTACCATCAACAAATGTCAGATCGTAGATATTATGACTACAACACTTTTTAAGAGCCAGTTTTATAGGTTTGGATTAATCTTCAAGTATAGTGTATAATTAATCTTTCCTACGAAAGTCGATTTTATGAAATATATAAAAAAATTATAAAAGTAGTGTAATGTTATTTTTATATTCATGCATTTTATATACAGTATGTCCCCGGAGTGTCTGTGTGTGTGTTACAAGAGGATTTTCTTTATTATTGACATTTTGAGAAAAATGCATTCTTCATAAAAACTTTGGCTTGTTCTAGAATGGTTAATCCCTTTTATACTTTTCCAAATTTCCACCGTTTTAGAGAAAATTAAAAAGAAAACGTGAAAATATGGTAAAACGTTTTTTTTTTCCAAGTCCTAAAAATCAAAACGCGTTTCTATGGTAAAATAATTTTGTTTTCATTCTTTGATAGATTGTTATTGATAGAATTTTAATTAATGTCATATTTTTGCTGTTTTAAAATGTTAAAGAGGCACAAAAGTATTTAGTTCAATGCTACGGAAAGGATGATAATAGTGGAAAATGTGATACTCTAACAACGCCAAAAGATATGACGTTAATCAAAATTAACAATAATCATCTATCAAAGAATGAAAACGAAATTATATTACTATAGAAACGCGTTTGGATTTTTAGAACTTCAAAATCAACCTTATTTTCACGTTTTTTTTCAATTTTCTCTAAAACGGTATGGAAATTTCGAAAAGTATCCACGCGATTAACCATTTTAGAATAAGCAAAAATTTTTATGGAGAATGCATTTTTCTCAAAATATCAATAATAAAGTTTTTCCACTTATAAAGACAATCCGGGGACATACTCTACGTTGTTGCTTTGGTTTGATTTTTATTAAATTGATCGTGTTTAAACGCCATCTATTAGAGCAATCGTTTACCAAAAATCCACATTTAGGAAAATTATTTATTTCTATCAGTTTTTATCTTCTCGATACCATTCGCAATAACAGAGATACGGGGGGTGTCCCAAACTACAAAATTTTAAAAAATACCCTGTACCTTAGAAACGAAGAGGTCCACGAAAATTTTGTTTACAGCATCTTTCGTGTGACAAAAAAAGTGGGAAAAGTTTGTGCAAATCAGAGCTTCTAGCTTCACTAATACTAATAATAACGGAGATACCGTATGATTTCAATCAAAATGGCAACCAAACCATCCTGTACCTTACATAAGCTGTATATGGTGTCCGGTAGCGTAGAGGAACACTGAAAAAAAGGATCTTTCAGTCGAAATGAATATGACTTTGACCCAAAAGATTGGCGCTTTTCAATAGGGCTAAGAACGACGTTTCTTTGTCCAAAGCATTAACTATCTTTTCATAAGCTTTAAAAAATTACTTTAGAGAATAGAAGAATCTATCTGTCCAAAGTATTTCACTCTTGATCCAAATGAATATGCAAAGAAGTTCTTGCTACAAGAACAATAGTCTCTTTGATTCATGCAAAAATTCTTGATTAAAAAGGGACATTTCTTGATTAAAGAGACACTTTTCTTAAACCAATAGCGAATACTATTGACTCAACTAAAATTTATTTTGATCTAAGAGAAGTCTATTCATATACAGGCATATTACGAGGTATATTATTTTCTGATAAATTTAAGTTTTCCTGGTCTGTAGTAAGTAAAGTGATGTTATTTTCCTCGATAGTAGTTATTTCTGCTTCTTCACTCCTTGGTATTTTTTGGGGTGGTTCATCACTCTATAAATTACAAAAAAATGTTACATCACAATTAATCAAAGTAAAGCAAATAAATTATATTAAAATTATAAGCTTTGGTCACATTTTGAATTTTTTAATACGACGACTTGAAATTCTAAAATTTTTGTAATTATTTACTTATTTATTATTCTTATTCTATCTTTAGTCACGCATGCATTATCTAAACAGGTGCATTAGGTAAATGTGTCTTACCTTCAAATATAGCAAATAAATGCTCTAATTTCCATTTTTTTTCAGAAACTCTTTTAAAGAATCCATATATCCTAAAATTTGTCCATAAAAAATGACAAATGCATGTTAATAACGATCACTAATTTGTTATACGATATGCATTTAAAAAGCAAATTATGCAAAATTCCAAGTGGAAGATTCCAAGTAACAAAACCCGTGCGTACTATGATGTGCGACCTATCAAATGCAACATACGACTGATCGGACTGCCGACTGATTGTATATACCGTCCTTCGTCATCGTCTTTGCGTGTCGTTATTATTTTTCATCAAAAGAGTATTTAGCTATTGGAAAAATGGCCATGTTTCTTGAATGAAGTACTTCCTAGCGTATTTTTCTTATTATCTTAAAACAAAGTAACTTGCCCTTGGTTGAATAAAAATAGATTCAAGAGAAATTTTCGAATTTTTCAAGAGAACCAGTTTTCTTGAGTTAAGAGAGTTTTTCTTCAGACAAAATATTTTCTTTTACACTAAAATAAATTATCTAGCCACTAATTTTTTTTTCAAGAACGATGACGACTTTAGTTCAAGTCTATCTTTTTTATCAGTGTACAGGCTCTCGTCCACAGATCACGTGCTCTCGTCTACCAATCTCAAGGTTGTGGGTTCGAATCCTACACCCGGCATTTCATCAGCCGACTATTTTTATTAAAATAAAAATAGTTTGGGTACCTAGGTCGACTCAGCCTTAAATGAGTACTTTGGATTCACAATCCTGAGGTAATAATAGGCGGTTGAAGCGTAGTATTAGCCACATTACCTTCCTTGTATACCGAACGTCTCTAGCATGGCAAGCTGTATGTACTTTGCTACTCCCAAGGCGTTAAACGCTATATACGGGAGCTATTATTATTACTTGTTTATAAGATTATTATTATATTCCTCATAAGGCTATTTCTTATAATCTTATTAAAAAGTAATAATTGGTTTTCTATTAAATGATTTGTTTAGAAAATGAACGTCTTTTTTTTTAAATATTTAAATCTAGAAGTACATTAGTTAAACTAAAATAGGTTTAAAGGGAGTAAAAAGCAAACACGTTTAATTTAAAATGCAATTTATTATGCTGTTTCACTACTGCGTTATGGTATCTACAGTTAGTGTCTCCAAAATCCATTTTTGTAATTGAAAATTTGCTCAAATTAAGCAAAACCGTTTGGCAAATACCATTTGACATTGACTAAATCATAGGTTGAAAACTTAAGATATGTTGGCAAACTTTTAAGTTTAAATATAAATAGAGGCAATTTTTCTTAAATTAGTTAAAATCGTCTTTTTTAAAACTGTTCAAATTTGGCATGTGTATTTAGCCATACGCAGATCTTTTAAAAACCTATTTACGACTTCGCCGTAAAATCAACAGGGAAGCCAATAATTGGGCAGTTCAAAATTTGCGTAGGATTTCCTATGTTTATAACGCCGATGTACCACCTGGTACCATATAACCGTCATCATCGTATTCTTTTTCGGTTTAGGTTTAAAAACCTGTTCCGCTTCACCATTTCTGAAGTGGTCGTCCAATACTTCTCCCTCCTGGAGGTTGATTTCGTAGCATTTTTGGTGGACTTCTATCATCTTTCATTATTTCTTTATGTTCCTTCCATTTGTTATTATATCGTCGGCTTTATGACGAAAAGGCGTATCTCGATTTTTGCTACTTTTCAGGAGAGCAATTTAAAGAAAATCACTTACTTTATTTGGCCAATAAATGTAAAGTCTTTAATTTTTTAATAGTGTTTTTGTATTAACACTTAAACGGAGACATTGAGGAAACGTTCTGAAGATAAATTGAGTGTAAATTCTAATAAATAATTTATTTTTAGTTGCTTAATAAAGATAGGCCTTTTTGTTATAATAATAATAAATTTATTTCCCCGAACGAATAGTATACATACGCCCATGTAAAATAAATTTAAAAATGACGGTAAAGTGTTCTTAATAAGAAAAAAAATGATACAATATTCACATTATGGAATACTTACAAGAAAATACAATACATACATACAAGAAAAAATCTGAAAATCGCCAAAAAGTCAGAAACAAATATTTTTAAATACTTTTATTCGCGTTGGATTAGATCAACTGAAAACAACGACAATTTTCATGCCCGAAGCAAAGACAATAATCAATTAAATTCTCTTATCTAGCTTATTTTAATAATATTGTTTTTTATACAAAAATGCATTTTTTAACTAATATATTTTTAGTAATTTTTTAGTTAATTGAGGACATTAATACAGGGCATTTAAACTCACGGTCCATATAATAAAAACCAAACTAACCTAAAACAAAACATGTTTCTTCGTTCGTTTTTTTATACAAATAACTGTGGAGTAACAGTTTCGGTTTTCCCTGTTCAATGATAACAAATTCGACTTCCATTCTACGTGTTTATGCTGGATGATGATAGGCAAAATAAATAAAATTTTCCAAAAATTGTTAGGGATGACAATGCCAATGGCCTGACAATGATAATGAGATGAAAATTATTGTATTTTTCGGGCAAGTTTTTGGTTCGCTAAAATGTTCTTAGAGAAATTATGATTTCGGGAAATTTTCCATTAGGGCAATTTTCGTTTCGATCAAAATTTTCCTTTTATTCGGCCATTTATTTTCGGACAATCTTTTGCATACCCGATACAGCTATGTGCAGAGTCTAGCTCATTTTAACAATGGTTGTTGGCAAAAAAATAGACTATAAAATCACACTGTAAAAGAGAGCTGCTGCCATGATAGAAGTTTTATTTAGTCCCAAGCAACCGTCAGAAAATAATTAGGTAGAATGGTGTAATTTTCTCTCGCATGCATTTTCATAACTTAAAACAAAAGGACCTATCTCAAATTTCATCTTTCTTGTAGTATAACAATTGGTATAACAATAATTGATATAACAAAGAGCCCTATCTCAACATACGTCTCTTCGTCATAACGAAGAATTGTAGTATTTGAGATGGGGCAAATTTTTAGACTAATATAAAATGAAAATGGTACAATATTGAGATGCGCAAATTCGCTATGTTAAAATATGACCCATTGGGCATGTCATGACGTTGATATCTCACAATCGCCAAAAATCGAGATACGCCTTTTCTTCATAAAGCCGACGATATACTTTTACTTTTTCTTCTAACGGTTGTATTTTTAGTTCATTTCTTATTGTGTCATTTCTTATTCTATCTTCTCTACCTATTTCTTTTATTTTTCCTAAGAATGGCATCTCCGTTGTCCATATAATGCTATCGGTATCGCTAATGTATTATATAGTCTTACTTACAAAAGGCCAATTCGACCCTGGAATTCAGCACATGATTAGCAGCGTCTCAAGAGCATTCTGAAAATTAAAAGACAGGGTTTTCTACAATCATGACTTGAGCACAAAAACGATACTTGTAGTGGAACGAGCAATAATAATCCCCACCATGTTATATGGAAGCGAAACCTGGGTGCCGTACCACAGTGCTTCGAACATATGGCTCTAGAGGACAAAAATGCAAAACTTCTCTTTTATAGTAGGCAATTTATTCAAACTAGGTTTATTTTACACAAATGATGAGTACTCTCATTGTACTAAATGATGATGTTCTTAGTCCCACGTTTATGAAAAAAATCTTATAAATAATAAAAATGTTGGAGCTGTTTTCCATCTAAGGAAATAATAATTTATAGTATGAAAACGGTGTAAGTATTAAATAAATCTCTGTGATAAAAAAGAATCGAAATAACATTAGAGCATGATTCCTACAATATAAGCCTAATATAAGATAAAAATGTTTTTCATTAATGAAAAAGAAACATTAATGTTATATTTAATTAAAGAAAAACTTAAGATACTATAAATTTACTTTAGGACAACAAAATGCATAGATCGTAACTACTCTGATTCAGAAGAATCACTGCTGACAGAATCTTTCAAATTTATAGTATCCAAATCACAGGTAGATGAAGTATCCTCACATATAAGATATTTCTGTACATCATTTTCTAATAAGTTAATTTTTCGCGTTGTTACTGTTCTTCTTGCTGGTATGAGGGGTTCGGAAATTAATAGTTACCTCTTTAATAGACCATATCCATATATTATTTTTTCATTTTCTTGGGTATGAGGTTTTATAATAAATTGAAAGTTGGAAAATTTTTATGCGACATTTCGCTCCAACATAGTGGGCCTTTTCAGGCACAAGTGGTGTCTCATTTGACTGGAAGGTTCATCAATATCTAATAAAGAACACATTTTTTGAAATACAAATAATTTTGAGTTCTTGTCCTTATGATCAAGCTAAATATTAACCAGATCGGCATTGCTTATTATTGCAATTTTACTCCATCTGAAAAGTATTATAAAATAAAGTTAATCGCAAGCAGACGCAGGTGAACTATACAAAAATTAAAAGTGTATGAATATGACAACACAAATATTCAATAAATACGATATGTTTTGATATGTTTTTTTCAAAATGCCTTTTTGAAGTTTGAAAACGTAAAATTTTTATACCCATTTAAGAATCATCTTAAAAAATAAATAAAAACTAAACAATCACGAACTTGTTTAGAAATAAATTTAAAGTACATTCCTTGTTTAACAATATCCATAGTGGCTTTCAATTAAGTACGTACCGTTTAACTCCATAATATACAGAACTACTATGAATGTTATTCTTTTCACTGATAAGATAATGATCGCAAAATTTATTTTTAGTGAAAATATTTGCTAACAAAAAACGCTGTTTATGAAAAATAATATACAGGATGGTTGAACATTGCTATAAGTATATAATTACATATTCAGATATTAGTAATGTGGGACGAAGCACTGTGCGTACTGCCGACACATGAATGCAGTAAACAAGTTGCAACAGAGACATCTTAGACAATTCTTAAGAATCAATTGGTCCCATCATGTCTCAAACGTATCGGTCCTTGAAAAATCTAACTGCGAGAGTATTGAAGTCATGATTACAAAGTCCCGCTTAAGATGGACTGGTCATGTATGCAGGATGCAAGAAAACCGCCTACCGAAATCTCTCCTTTACGGTGAGAGGAAACAGGGTGGATAACTCAAAAGGTACGAGCCGGGTGGACAATTCAAAAGATACAAGGATATTTACCATGAAAATTTAAAGGGGATAAGCATACAGAATCAGCGGGAAGAAGCAGCAAACAATAGAACGCAATGAAGAATTGTAAACTCAGTTGACAACGAAAACCAAAGTGTAAAGAGGCAACAATGTAATGAGATTTTTGAATGTCCGGAGTGTGGAAGAGAGATAACATCACCTATCGAGCTTTTCAGTCACAGAAAAGCTCATGAAAGAAAACGCCTTGGCGTAACCATCGTCTAATGCGTGTCAAATACTCGTCAGCAAGTAATGTCAGTAAGTTAGTAAGTAAAAGCTAAGTGGATTTGTTGGTTAAATTTTCGTCCTTTTTCTATTAACTGCTGTAATGAAAAAACGTTATCAATTGTAGAGCGACCTTTTTGAAATCCATTTTGTTCTTCGAGTAATGTATTTGTACGTTTTCAGATCAACTTTGCGTAGATTTTATATTCCTTTTTATTTTTACCTATTCACCATTACCCATTACAATAAAATACCTTTGACAATAATAAAAACGAACGTCAAATTATATTTCAGTTGTCACAAAAACAGTAGTAATCTTTCAAAAAGATCCACGAAAATCGAAAAATGTCTTCTTCAATCCCCGAATCCTCGGGCAAAGAGTGTTCCACACCGAGAGGCTACGGAGAAGGTGATGGATTCCGCCAGAACATCTCATCCAGGAAACGAGTTCCAGTATCATCAGCACGAAAGTTCAACGCCAGATCGCCCAAAGATCCCACCATGAGGCTGAAGCTGGAGACGGCCTTGAAGGAAATGACTGGGAAGAGAGCCGAGTCCACGCCGAAACGCGGCCAGCAGTGTTTGCTGAAGTCAGCATCGGTGGCGGAGATAACGCCCACGTCGAGCAAGTCCAAAAAAAGGTACATTACGTGCGATGTCAGGTGGTTTAACGTGTAAAATGTTGGAAAATATACGAGGATGTGCTCGATAAGCGTCATGGTATTTTTGTTTGAATGAGAGAGAATCTAGTAAATTAATAAGTAATGAAACCAAATCATGGTTTACAAGCAAAACATGTTATTAAGTCCAATTAGTTAATGCCTGAAAAGTTCGTATAAATGGATATCCTAAAATGTTTTGTTTTTATTTCGATTTTTTCGAAATAATTTTTAAACTACCTATAACGTCGATATTTGGATGAAAATTGGTGTGTGGGAGTTTTTGGACATGAGAAATTTGATTTTAATATCAATATGACTCATGCATGTAGAGGACGCCACCTACATATGTTTTAAATGGTTTGAAGTGTAATTCGTCCGTACCTGTATAAAACTACTGAGTAAAAAAGTATTCATTTCCGTCGTTTTTACGCAAAAATTTGTAAAAATTGCTGCGAGCCACAGTTCTCAAGATATTTGAAATTGAAACATCAATACATGTCATCTTCTTCTTCTTATCACGCCCTCTCCTGCCGAAGGTTGGCGATCCAAATGGAAATTGTGGCTCTGGAAACAGCCCGGAAGATTTCCGCAGACGAGCATTCAAACCATCTCCTTAAATCTTTTAGCCATGAGTTCTGGCGTCTTCCTACTGATCTTTTCCCTTGCACTTTGTACTCTATTATGAGGCGCAGTATTTCGTATCTATCACCTCTCATCACATGAACCAGGTATTGCAATTTTCTTTCCTTGATGGTGTTCAGTATCTCTTTTTGTTTCTGCATGCGCTGGAGTACTTCATCGTTGGTGATCCTTTGTACCCATGAGATTCGCAGCATCCGTCTGTACACATACATTTCGAAGGCTTATTCTCTTTTCGGTCTGTGAATTTAGTGTCCAGTTCTCACTCCATAGAGTAACACAGAGAAGATGTAGCATCTGGCCATTCGAGTTCTGAGTTCCGCACTGAGATCTCGTCTTGTAAAAATGATTTCATACTCACGAAGATTTTTCTCGCTCGCTCAATTCTTGAAAATATTTCTCTTTTCGGGTCGCACTGGCTATTGATGTTAGCTCCTAAATACTTTGAGGTCACTTGTTCGATTGTTTGTCCCTTGACACGCAGGTGTGCATTTATTGGAGCCTTAGAAAAAACCAATAGTTTGGTCTTGGAGACATTGAGATGCAGTCGAAACATCTCACTATAGTGGACTACGGAATCTATGATGCTTTGCAGTTCTTGTATATTGTTGGCTATTATAACCGTACATGTCATCATTGACATAAATTAAACATGTTGATTTGACAGTTATTAGACTGAAATAATAAATTTGAATTTGATTTTTGCGCCAAAGATTCAACAGAAACTGTTTTATCAAAAATTGTTCGAAGAAAAATTTATGATTGATTTAAAAAATAAAATTTATCATTTCGATCATATAACTATCTACACAGCATGTTTATTTTTTGTCAATAATGACAAGTACTGACTATATTTCCATTCTAAATATCTTGAGAACGGTTGCTCGTAAAGATTTTTACTAAGAGACCTTTTGTAAGTAAAAAATTACGGAAATCTACATTTTTCATAGCAGTTCTATACAGATACGGACGAAAAGTTATTACTCCTTAAAAGATTTAAAAAATATGTAGCATTTATACCGTATGATCGAAAAAAAAACGGAGTCCAGTTGGCTGGGAAATGAACATCGATGACATTTCCCATATAAATTTACATATAAAATGACAGCGATCTTCATTCCATAGCCATCACTGACGCCGTTTTTTCTCGATCATACGCTACCAGTATTTGATTTACCTGCAATAGTTTAATAAGTAATATTTATTAAATATGTATTTATTATTCTATCAAGAAAAACGAAGAAGTAGTTCTTAGATTTATTTTACGATGGCGTGTAAGTTTTTTATAAACCACCCTACCAGCTGTGCAAAATAGGATATCTAAGTAGTTTTTCAAAGCAACGCTTATCAGAAAGATTCCTATTTGGATATTTTTGAGCCTAAGCCCTTGAGGCCAAGAAGCAATTTTCCTCACAAAATAAAATTTCTAGTAACATATCGATTCGTTCCGCCAGTAGATACTGCTTAATTTTTCTTGATAAAATAATGAATACTTACTCATTAAACTATTGTATGTAAATTTAAGCAAACTGTTATAAATAATTGGAAATAATAATGTCCATAAACTAATGTCGATTTTAAAAATTTTGTTAACTTGTTACTAGAAAATTGCTATGGCGACACCATCCATCTTGATTGCCAGGTTTTATTTAAAAATCGCTTTTTATTCAAAATCTGAGCTAGATAGTTATAGGAAACCCTAATATAGTTTGAAAGAGCATTTGAATCTGTTTCGATTTATTTAAAAAAATACAGGGTGTTGCATTTGAAATAACGAAGTTTTATCTAAAATAAATCCTTAAAATAGATCAACAATTTTTGGTACCCTTGTATAAATTTAAGGAGATAATAACATTTTTTCAGTAAAGTTTATTTCTCTACCTTTAAACTCAACACAAGAATTAATTCAGAAAAGTAATGTACAGGGTGTTAATAGTCTATTCTATTGTAGCATGCATATTTAAATATCTCAAAAACCAAACATTTTAAACATTTTTAACCTTCATAATAAATCCCTTTTTATAGGCCCAAGAATCCAAAAATGAAATAATATACCAGGTGTTCCATAAGAAATAATATAACTTTGGTATGGATCTTAGTTCTGAAACACTCTGTTTATTTCAAAATATTTTTAAATTGTGCACATTGCCTCCCCACATATATACCCATAAAATATTTTGTTTCTACATCAAAGACATTATAAAGATAGACCGAACATCTCATTCATAAATACTCGTTGGTAGTGTATCAAACATTCCAATGTGTCAAACAAGGACAGAAGAGACAGAGAAGTCTAAAATTTCCGACCCCAGCAACTAGGCGCATTTGGATTGTTCTACTGGCCAGTGGCGTATCGTTTTTTGGAACGAATTTAATTAGTAAAGTAAAAGTAAAGTAATTAGTAAAATTTTTACTCCATATTAATATACTACATTAACACTTTTTCGTCAGATGAGTTTTGTTATAAGGTCTAATTTAATAATACAATTAATATCCCACATATACTTATGTTGAAACGTTAGTAGTTTTCGAAAATCGCTCCAACGTCGATTTTCAATTTAAACTTTCAGTTACTTCTATATAAACTTTCAGTTACTTTTGAATATTTACAGGGTGACTCAGGCTTCCGAAACAGTTCTATATTAGGTTTGTGGTTGGTGACTTTTCTTTCAATTTTTTTTTCAGAATATGGAGGCATTTAGGCACACTTTAGATATTTTTGTAAACATAGGTGGCCGGAACATATTTTCAAACCAAAGTTGTAGATTTGCCATTAAATTTCCAGTCCAGAAATACCTATGGTTGCCACTTGTCCTTTTTTGAAAAGGACAGTCCTTTTTTAGAATAACTTGTCCTTTTGACTTTTTTTTGACTTAAAAAGTCATTTTTATTTACGTATTTTCCCTGAGAAAATTACCTACAGCAAACAGAAATATTCTTTTTGCCCAAATTTTATTAGGAATGTAATAAAACTTAACTTATAAATACATTTTTCTTGTTTAGAATATGCAACATTATTTAGAACTTCCCGTTTAATCTCAAATGATAGTTTAGGTTTTAGTTTTACCTTCTTTTATCTTAAAAAGAACCTTTCAAAATTAGTACCTAATTAGTAACGATTTAGTTAGTTCGCAATCGATAGCTTCCTGTGAAGTACTGTGTAATAGTTGTTTAATCTTGTATTATTAATAACTTCGTATACCTAAAATCAATATTTAATGAGAAAATTGTGTTTGTTTTTGAAAATATAAGACAAGATTTGACTTTCGGTCTTCTTTTTGTATTATGATGGCTCTGATACGAGGCCTTTTAGTCTCGCAATAGAAGGCATTGAAGGCACAAAATCTGTGTGCTACAGTATGGGATTTCTGTCGCATAATAATGAATACATATTACGTTTATTTACAAATCCATTACTTTTAAAGGTAGCTTCATCAGATAATCAAATTTTAGTTAAATGTCCTAATCTTCATGAACTGTATTAAGCATATGTATTGCGGTTTGAATCACCCTGTATGTTGACAAAAATATTTTGAAAATGTGCGTTACAATGGCCCCCATCTTATGTAAAAAATTGAAATAAAAATCACAAACCAAAAACGTAATAGGTAAAAAGCTTTTTTGGAGGCCTGGGTCACTCTCTATATAGGAATGCATAAAACTAGTAGCCTAAGAATTATTTACAGTTCGTCCCATTCTAAAAAAAGTTAAACACACCGTACAAATAACTCTAGGAAGATGTATTTGTCCGGTGGTAAAAAATTGTCTAAACAAGGCCGAAGGGGCAGATATAATAAAGCAATAAAATGTAAAAAAAGGTCGGGTAAACACCTTTGTTTATTTGTTGAGCAAAATTCCTTTAGAATATCGTATATAATGACCAAAATAGGACGCAATTTTTAAAAAAAATGTCACTTTCTGGCTTATAATGAAGTTTCAAATGTAACGTTTATATTCAAATTTGTTATGATCTACAACAGTTAGGTAGTAATTGAGACGAATTATAATTTAATTACCGGCTACTACGTTCTTGTTTTAATAGATCAAAATTCAACAAATATAATTGGAAATTATTTTAATTGTGAGAGGCTCCCTTGTGGGACGCCTATGTACGATTACGGCGCGGCGGGAAGTTAAATGTCCTAATCTTCATGAACAATACCTACCTGTGAAAAGACAAATTCGGGTAATTTGAGCTTATTTGTCCACACATTTGACACTGTCGTACCATATTGAAAATTCGCAGCTTCAAAAGTATATTAAACAAAAACAAAAACTACTGAAAAACACTGAAAAGTTAACTTCGGTCTTGATTCCGACTTCAAACACACCGTAAGCTA